CAAGTAGAAAGATGGCTTTAAGAACAAGAAACAGAAACCAAGATGGCTGCCCCCGTGGAACTGGAGTTGAAGAAGGCCTTTACAGAGCTTCAAGCCAAAGTTACTGACACGCAACAGAAAGTGAAGCTTGCAGACATACAGATTGAACAGCTAACCAGAACAAAAAAACATGCACATCTTACAGATACAGAGATCATGACTTTGGTGGATGAAACTAACATGTATGAAGGTGTAGGAAGAATGTTTATTCTTCAGTCAAAGGAGGTAATTCACAACCAGCTATTAGAAAAACAGAAAATAGCAGAATAAAAAAATTAAAGAACTGGAACAGAAGAAATCCTACCTTGAACGGAGTGTGAAGGAGGCCGAGGACAACATCCGGGAGATGCTGATGGCACGCAGGGCCCAGTAGGCGGCCAGGAGGAGAAAGCCCCCCACAGGACCCCTCGCAGGATCCTGTGGAAGGGGAGCCTCTGCTCTGCCCTGGTGGACACCAGCCAGTTGACCTCATCAGTGCACTCTTTATACATGGCCCCGAGTTCCTCACAGATTCCAGCCCTCTATTTCTGACCCTGGCTCCTCTGCAGGACACTGTTCTCTCCTGGGATGCAGGGTGAGCTCCCAGGAGAGAGGGAGGAGGCAGGAGCCATGCAGGCAGATCTTGCCTGAGCCCACTCCTGGCACCATGCTGGCCAGATCAATAAAGGCATCTGCCCCCCCCCTAAAAAAAAAAAGAACAAGAAACACTTTTTTTACAGTTCTGGAGTTCAAATCAGGGTCTCCGTGGTTTCAGACATTCCTTGGTTTGCAAATGATTCTCACTTCCTGTCTGCCCCAAGGTACGCTCAGACTGCTCTTTTGTAACTAAAGGATTTTGAGTCCATCATGCTCTGGTCCAATTCAATTAACATTAAAAACAACAACAACAACAAAAAAAAAAGCCACTCAAACAATTCTGCGGAGTTGCTTTTGATTCATGACCACCCCCTATGGGTCAGAGTAGAACTGGGCTCTACAGAGCTTTTTCAAGGACTGATTTTTTTCGGAGGAAGCCAATCTCCAGGCCTTTCTTCCTAGTCTTAGCTTGAAAGCACCACTGAAATTTGTCCATCATGCTTGGTCTTACTGGTATTTGCAGAAACAGCAACAAAGTGTCCAACATCACAGCAACATTGAAGCCGCTACTGTATGACGCGACAGAAGGATGGTGGACCCTGCCTTTCTCTCTTGACTAACAGCATCTGCCTCTTACCCTTTTCATTTGAAATCCTTAAGACCCAACAGAACTTGTCGAGCTCTGGTAGCCTAGTGGCAAGAAGCTGCACTGCAATCCCAAAGGTGTGAGGTTCAAATCCACCAGATGCTCTGCTGGAGACGGAGGGACAATCTCCTCCTGTACCAATCAGATCCAATTTGACAGTACACACACACACACACACACACACACACACACACACACACATTTAAAAAGCCCCAAATCCAACAGAACTTAGCACATTGAGACACTAGAATGCTGACAGGCAGCTAATACCAGTAATGACTGTTAATCAGCATATCCATGTGTCGGGCAGTGCTGGACACTTGTCTGTGGTCCATCTCAGTGAATGTCGTCAGTTACCTATATATTGGGCCTTAGGCTACTTTTAACAGCCTTTCTAGCCATGGCCATGTTAACCTTCACCAAAAGACTGACTAGGGTTATGCAAATGAGAAGCTCACAGCTCAGCCAGGGGATTCGATAACTTGCTGCTGATGTAAATAAGGTGCTCAGGACCCTTGTGGAGATGAAATCATACAAATAAGGTGCATGGAAACCTAATGAAGGGGATTGGTCGATTTTGCCATCTTGTTGAGCTTAAATAGAGCCATCCCAGAGGTGAAAAGGAGGATTCTCACTACTACCACCAAGAAAGAAGAGACAGGAGTAGAGTGTGCCCTTCCAGTCCAGGGTCCCTGAGCTGAGAAACTCCCTGACCCAGGAGACAGAGAGCTGTAGCAGTGGAAACAGTGAGAGATGGTGGACATAGCAGAACCAGGAGAGAACAACAAGAGACCTTCTAGTCCACTGAGTGTGAAACCTGAGTGCCTCACATAGGAGGCTTGATGGGGAAGGGGAAGAGCTGGGCTTGTCAAATCACAGATCTAGAGATCGGGTGGGTTCCTCTGGACACTTGTTGGTGGAGCTGAAGAGTTCTCGAATATTTACAGGTCATTGGTTAGGTAAGGTTGTGGGCCTAGTGGAGAAACTGTCCTGTCCTTTCCTTTCCTTCCCTTCCCTTCCCTTTCCTTTCCTTTCTTTTCCTTCTCCTTCCTTCCATCTCCTCCTCCTCCTCCTCCTCCTCCTCCTTCTTCTCTCTCTCTTTCTCTCTCTCTCTCTCTCTCTCCCTCTCTCTCTCTCCTTCTTTCCCCCTCTCTCCCTCTCCCTCTCTTTCATCTGTATCTGTAATCTGATGTTTTGACTTTGGTCTTCAAGCCTCAAGATAGAGCAGGGGTTAGGGCTGCTGTACAGGGCTATTGCATAGGGCTGTTGTTAGGGTCGCTATGAGTCCCTGGTGACTCGACGGCACATAACAACAAAGCCTCCAGCGCTGGTTGTCTTAAACCAACATTACTGCTCCCTTAAGCCACTCTGTGTGCACTGCTTTATGCTGTTAGGTGCACTCCAGTCTAACTCACAATAACCCTATGAACAACATCTTTTTTTTTTTAATTATTTTGTGTGCATGTACCGTCAAATCAGATCTGACTGGTACAGGAGGATATTGTGCCTCCTTCTCCGGCAGAGCGTCTGGTGGATTCAAACCGTGTTCCTCTGGGATTGCAGTGCAGCTTCTTGCCACTAGGCCACCAGAGCTCCCCTAGGCCACCAGAGCTCCCCAACAACATCTTGACACCTTGTCTTATGTGGCGCCATCCTCACAATTCCCATCATTCTCAAACCCATTGTTGCAGTTCCTTCTCTTTTGCTGACTCTCTGCCTTTCCAAGCATGACGTCTTTTTCCAAGGACTGGCACCTCCTGACATGTCCAAAGTATGGAGATGAAGTTCATTATCCTTTAAGAAGTACCCTAATGTAAGAGTATAGTGTTACATCTCCAAGTTATGTCCCCCAACAACCGTGCCTCCCAGCATTACCCAGTTTGTATGACTTAGACTATTACTGTCCAGCTAATTCTGACTCATGGTAATGTAATGTGTGCAAAGAAGAATTGGACTCCATCAAATTTTCAATGGCTGTGACCTTTTGGAAGCAAATGGCCAGGCCTTTCTTCCATAGCCCCTCTGCATAAGCTCAAATCTCCAACTCTTTTGTTAGTAGGGAAAAACTTACCTGTTTCTGCCACCCAGGAATTTCCCTCATGTAATTCTCACTCATTTTCAGTCTGGCCTGGTCTGACTTGCACTGACCGATGACTATGGTGAGCGTGACATTCCTTATGTTAGTTTTAGATCTAGTCTCCAAGAGACTGGTAGCTTTTACCTCTTACTATTGAAATGCTTCTTGCATGAAGCCCTGATCTGCTGTGAAAGAAGCTCAGCTACACTGTGAGAGAGATCCCCTGCCCTGGAGGAGACAGGGCTAAGAATACAGAGAAAACAAGATGGGGCCAATGTCCTTACAGGCAAGCTGAGCCCAGCCTTCTAGCTTTCCCTTTCAAGGTGTGAGATATGTTTGATTGTACCATCTTGGATATTCCAGCCCTCCTGGGCATCCAAATCACTACAACCCAATCTAACATTACACAAAGCAGAGATACCCAGCTGAGCCCAGTTCACCCATGGGCTTGTGTGAGATCAGAGCTGCCTTAAGTCTGATGTTTGGAGATGGTGTGCTGTTTACCAACAGCAATTCACAGTACAGCAATTTGAAGACTCATTTTTCTTTGCCTAAAAGCGAGTATCGTGTTAATATTCTGTGTCAACCTGGCCACGGTGCTTTGTATAACATAACAATCTTATGCACTGTGAATCCTGACCTCTGTGATTTTGATGAGGCAGGTTTAGAGGTGATTCTGTAAAGATACAGTCAGCTTGATCTAGTGGCATGCATTAAATCTGTTTAGATTCTCCGACAAATCTGGAAGGCTTTTTTTTTTGTTTGACCCTGCAACTGGCTACTGTCTGACTTGTGACCTCTGAACTTGACCAGCCGCCCACATTACCCTGTCTGGCTCCCAGCCTCTGAAGTCAGCAGCCTGTGACAGCTTTGGAATGATCGTCAGCCTCTGAAGTTGGTAGTCTCCTAAGCCAGTAGTAGCCTGACACTTGGCTTGCCGGTTGATGCTATGTGGACTCCGTTCTCTTGAAAGTCTTACCCACAGACCTGGTTGTTAACTGAAGTCAGCAGTTCAAACCTGCCAGCCACTCCACTGGAATAGATGAAGCCCTCTGCTCTCATCAAAAGACTGCCGCCTTCGAAACCCTAAGGGGAAAATTCTACTTGATCCGATAGGATCTCTGAGTTGCATCTACTCGGTGACACACAGCAGACGTTCCTCAGAAGATAGATCTGGAGACCTGCTTCCGAGTGGTGACAGCCTTGAAACTCTTAGGGAGTAGTTCTACTCAACACACGTGGGGAGGCCGTGAGTGGGAATGAAGTGCATCTAAAACAAAGAAAACTCAGGTTCTGAACCACTGATCTTCCCTCCCCTCCCTGCTCTTCTCCTGCGGCTAGAAAGCTGACACATTCTCCCATCCACTTCCAGATGCCCAGGCAACCAGAGAGTGGAGGAGGGCAGGTGGGAACGAAAACATCTGAAGGAAGCAGCAAGCATCTTATTTGCTCTGGTCAGAAGCCAACGAAGCCTCAATCACACACATCCGTAGAGTGAGGATGGGAGATTAGAAGGAGTGAGAAGTCAGGCGAAGAACAGCGATGCTCTGATGACGAGCTGGGTGCTGTCTGAGTCTGCGTTACGGTGGGAGGGGCTGTACCGGCTCCACCCTCTTCCTTCCTGTAGCCACCAGCTCGGTCCTTTCCCCAAACCCCAACCCGTCACCATGGATCCTCCAGTAGATCCCACAGCCGGGCGCCGCTGGAGTCCGAAAAGTCTGCAGAAAAGATGCTGGGGGCTGGGGGCCCACAGCCCAACGGGGGACCCCCGCTCAGGGCCTCCAGCCAGTCCAATGAGTCCATGGGGCCCCTGGGAGCTGGGGCCGGCGAGTTCGTGGGCGAAGGGAGTGAGGAAGAGAAGACAGATGAGAGGCCTTCAGAGTCCGGAGAGGGGGACAGCACGTCGAAGGAACCAGGGAAGTCCAGAGGGATGGGGGGCAGTGGGTCTGCGGAGGTAGGGGGGAAAGGAATGGAAGGTGAGCTAAAGAGGACAAAGACCAGGTCCCCAGCCCCCTCCTCCTTCAAACCCAGGAGTCAGGGCTCCTCATCTCCACCTCCCTCAGCCTGGGCATCCAGGCCCTTGACTCCCTCCCTCTCGGACCCAGTAATCGGACGGACCCTCAAGCCTCTTCTCCAAATCTAGCGGCTCTTACTTACCCTCGGGCTCCACCGAATCCTCCAGGATGTCATCGATGCTCCGGTTTGGAAGCAGCTATGGACGAAAACAAGCAACATGAACCAGGGACTGCGACCTTGAACCCAGGTAGAGACCCTGAGCCCCACCTCTACGTGCTCCTCTCACCTGTGCCCTCCGGATCGCTTCCTGTAGTTCCTCCTCCAGAGTCAGCGGGGCTGACTTCGGTGTTGAGCAGGGAGTCAGGGCTGGAGCAGGAGCCGGAGGCGCCACCACTACGGTGTCCGGGGCTCGTGGGAGAGGCGGCCGGCCAGATGCTGGACTGGACTTGAACTACAACAGTGAAGACAGCTGTCTTTATAAACCACGCCCACTTAGAGGACAACCCCATCTGAACTATGTGGCTCCGCCCCATCAAATGCCCTTTGACCACGCCCCCTACGTATTCATTGGGTCTCCTTTTCAGTACCCGCCCCCTTTTGTCCTCTTTTCTTTGCAGGTTCTTGTCACTAGGCCACACCCCTCACATTTCATTGGCTACTAGTTTTCAGACTACCCGCCCTGTCCTAGCACGTATTCTCATTGGCCCACGCGCATGTAACCCACACGCCCACACGCGTGTAATCCCGCCTCCAGGGCCTGCTCTCACCGGGCCCTGACGTCGGGCGGCTCCTAGAGCCTTCGGCCGGAGACGCGGCCAGGGAGCCCCCGCTGGACTGTCCTCGCGCCGTGACTTCGACCGCTCGCGGGGTGGAGCGCCGCCGCGCATGCGCTCCAGGAGCATCGACTTGGTCCCCGACACGGGGAGGCCCCGCAGGCGCAGCTGTTGGCGGAGCTCGGAGACCTGGGGGATTGGGGAGCAGGGAGGGATCGAGCCGGGCAGGCGCTGGCGGGAACTGGGACTAGGCATTTGGAAGTCCACTTTTGAGACACTTGAAAGAGATGGAACTAGGGGTCCCAGATGCCTGGGTGTCCAATGGGGTAGAGTAGACTTCTGGGTCTCGCTAAGCTGGAGGACCTCAAACTGAAGTCACCCCAAACTCACCGTCAGCTCTTCCAGTTTCAGGGTCTGAAGTTCCAACTTGTGTGGTGGGGGCGAGGGGCTGGGGGCTCCTGGTGGGGAGGGAGTCGGGGGAGTGGGCTTCATCCTGGCGGTAGTTCTGAGAAGGGAACAGGTTAAAAAGGGCAGAGGAATCAGAGGGATCCTTAAGAGGCTGAAGATTGGGGTGCAGGGAGATGTCTGTGCTTTGGAGAGGGGTACTAGGGCCTTAGCTTCTAGAGACTGGTAGAGGTTGCTGGGGGCCTTGGAAATGAGACTGGGGCCCCAGACTTTTGAATCCTGGTGAGGAAAGGAGAGGTGCCTGAGTTTGAAGGAGGACCAAGTGGGTCCTGAGTTTCTGGGTTCTGGGAGAACAGATAGGGGATCATACCTAGGAGGTGGTGGCTGTGAATTGGTCCCTTCCCCCAGGGATGTCTTCTGGGGTCCCAGTGCTGGCCCCTCAGCCTGGGGATCTCCCCTGGCCCCTTTTCTTGGTTCTGGGGGCTTGTATTGGTGGTAGGTCAGGTTTCCCTTGGGCTTGGGCTCCCTCCAGCTTTGCGTGGTCTTAGGAGACTCCTGTAAGAGGAGACAGGGATGTTACTTCCTTCCACTCTGCTCCAGCCTTCCTGTCCTAAAGCCCCATGCAAAATATGGGGTCTGCTTGGGATGACCGAACTATATCATACGAGCTGATTCCAACTCACAGTGCAAGACAAGAAGGAAGTATCCTATGGGGTTTCTGAAGCTGTAAATCTTTACAAAAGCAGGATTCCACATCTTTTTTTCCAAAGAGTACCAGGTGGGTTCAAACCCCCAAATCTTTCAGCTAATAGCCCAAAACTTCATCACCCAGGTTTCTGTGGGAAAGCTTCACCTACTGCTATCAAGTCTTTTTCGACTCTTAGCAACCCTCGAGGATAGTAGAATTGTTCAATAGGGTTTCAAGACTGTAATATTTTTTTTAAAAAATTATTATTTGTGTGTGTACATGATCAAATTAGATCTGACTGGTACAGGAGGAGATTGTCCCTCCCGCTCCAGCAGAGCATCTGGTGGATTCAACCCACGCACCTCTGGGATTGCAGTGCAGCTTCTTGTCACTAGGCCATCAGAGGTCCCCAAGGCTGTAAATTTTTATAGGGACCAACTGTGTCGTCTTTCTTCCGTGGAGCAGCTGGTGTGTTTGAAACCCTGTCCTACAGGTTAGCAGTCAAATGCCTTAACCAGATGCCACTCAAACTCCCTTGGGAAGACCAGCCCCATTGCTGTCAAGTGGATTATGGTTCTTGGTGACCCTCACGCATCAGATGCCCAAGGTTATACATCTTTACAAGAGGAAACTGTCCCATCTTTCTCCCACTGAGCAGCTTGTAGATTCGAACCACCGACCTTTTGGTTGGCAGCTTGATATATTACACACTGGCTCCTTTGGCAGAAACAGATGGCAGTAACCTTAGCAGCAGAGAAGGACAAGGCTAGACCAGTAGAGGGACTTACCCTCACTCCAGTCTGGAGACTCACCTTCTTCGGAGACGTCCACGGGCAGTATTTGGGTTCAGGGAGCAGGACTCCAGGGCTGAAGAGGAAAGGGGCAAGGTGCGATGGAGAGACAGGGGCCAGAGCGGCCAGGCTGGAAGCGGAGATCCCCGAATCTGAGACTGGAGAGAAGGTTGAGGATCCTGAGAGGACCTTGGGCGGGCAGAACGCCAGGCAGGGAGGAGCAGGGCTGTGCGAAGGAGGGTGCAGGAGGCCCCGGACCCCGGGTGGGGAGTGGCAGGCCCAGAGACTAGAATCTAGGCTCCACACAGCGTGGGTACTCTGGATCACAGGGTGAAGGATGGTCCCCCAACTTGTACATTCTCAAGCGAGGCTGCTTCACAACTTTGGTTCCCAAGGGGTGTGTGAGGGAGCCCAGATTCTGAGATTTTTGTAGGGCCAGGGGTGGGGCCTGCAGTCCTGGTTTTTAGGAGAAGTAGAAGTGCGGGATCCAAAGAAACGGGATCTGGATTCATGCACCCACTTGGGGTGAGGGAGCTAGACACCTGGAAGCAGTTCTTCTAGGGGGTACAGAATGGGGACCTGGGCTCTTGGGTCATCAGCTAAGGACAGGGTTGGATTTCTGTGATGCCCTTTTAGGGAGGAATGAAAGAGCAGGAAGGCGATCGAGGATCTGGTAGTTGTCACTCCAGGAACCCCTCCGGGGAGTGGGGTCACCCAGCCCGCCCTTTGGGGGACCCACACTTACTCGGGTCGTGATAGCGTCTGTGGATCCGCAGCTGGAGGACTGTAGAGGGAGGAGGGGGTGGTGAGAGGAGGAAGGCGGGAAGGGAGTGTCCAGGAGCCTGGCCTGGCAGGCGGGCGGGAGCTGCAGTTGTTGGAGGGCCCAGCCCCCTTACACACCCGGTGCAGGCGGGTGGGCGGGCAGCCCGCTCCCTCTCCCTCTCCAGGGCCTCCCGCTTGCTCCCTGCCAGCCGAACGCCAGAGGGCCCGAGCTGTGCTGGGGCCTGGAGCCAGTCAGCGGCCGGTAGGAGTCCGCCCTGCCCCCTGCTCCACCTGCCCCCTCACTGCCCGTGCCCACTCCACCCCCTGGCACGATCGCCATCTTGGCCACCCAGCCCCTTTGCACCCCGCATACTTTACTGCTTGCACCCTACTTCGCACACGCCTGGTCTTATCTGTCCTTGCTAAACCCACCCACACTGTACACTCGCCCTGCAAGCGCACACCTCCCTGGGTTCCAGCTATGCACAGTTTTGTGCACTTGGGCCCTTTTGCACAGCTCGCATCCTTGACTCCCTCTGTCTCCTGCCACGTTCATGCACTATTTGCGTGGTCCGGATTCTTATTTTGGAGCAAGTGGACTTCTCCATAGGTGGGCATCCTCTGACACGCTCCTTGCTGTCTGCTTACTGGAGGGGTTTGCATCCATCCAGCACACTCAAGGAACTCACCTTTCTTTGGGACATACGTGCACACTTTCTGCCTGTCCTGACCCTCGTGTGTGGCCTTGGAGGCTGGAAAGGCTTAGTAGGTAATTGTCCTTTAACTCAGAAAGGATTTACCAGCTCCACAGCGGAGTGCACACTCCACTGCTTTCCACACGTCAGTGTAAACCCCACTGTCTGTGCAGCCCTATTAGACGTCCAGCCCAACAGCCCTCTCCCCAATTCTCATGTCAAAGTCATCCCAGCTATTCCACCCCCCACCTTTACCTGCCTCGTCCCTCCTCAAAGCAAAGCATAGGTGACCTTCAGCACAGAAAATACCCTTCCTTCCTTGTGACCTGCTGTCCTTCTCCCCCCTCCCATGCATACCCCATGGCCACACACACACACACAGAGAGAGAGAGAGAGAGAGAGAGAGAGAGGAGCCTCTCACCAGAACGGAATTTGGAGCGAATGATTTGGGAGCGCTGAGAGGAAGCTGCCAGGGTCATTGCCAAGGCCAGGATGGGGACCTGGACTGGGGGAAAGGGCAGGGTCCTCATAAGGTGGGAGGTCAGGGTGGAGGGCAGAGGCTGTCCCTGTGTGGGGCAGGCAGAATAAGAGGAGCTGCCCTCAACCATAATAACTGGAGGCCAGGACAGGAGGGGGCTGAGGCCCCAGGGTCTGAGGGCCTGGGTCCATAAAAGGAGAGGAAGGGGCATGGATAGAACTCCTGATTTGTGTCCCAGAAGGCAGTTAAGGACCAGAACTCCGCTGGGCGCTAGAATCCACGATCTTTGGTCTAGAGGAGCATGGGATCCTAGTCGACCTGTAGATAGCTGAAGGGTCTCTATCGCCTGTATCTCAGAAGAGAGTATGTGGCGTCTTAGCCACTTGGGTCTATGGGACTGGGACTGGAGAGGTGACAAAAACCCCCCTCTCCCTTGCACCCCGGGGCTTCTCACCAGGTAATTAGGTTCAGCTGCTCGACTGGGTCGTGGGGCTGGTTGAATCCCTAGATCTGAGCTGGAGGCTGAAGGCTCCGCCCCCCTTCAGGCTAGGACCCCCTTTCAGGGGCGTGCCTGGCGTCTGGGAGCCCTAGGAGGGGCGGGGTCAGGGTTGGGCTTGCTCCTCCTGGGTGACCCGGCCTGCGGGGTCGGGAGGGGCTTGACAGACAGGAGCAGGTGCATGTAGAGAACTGGGGTGAGCAGTAACGGCAGGTGGTCGTGGCTCAGTTCGGCCCAGCCGGCAGGTGCCACCTGTCGCTTGCTTTTTCCCTGACACAGCAGCCAGGATCTGGTTCAGGCAAGTGAAAAGTTCAAATTGGAAGCCTGGACTCCTGGGTCTCAAGGAGAAGGCTGCAGGGGGAAGGAGACTGCTGGACTCCGGATTTGAAGAAGGGAACTGGGACTCCTGAGTCTGAGAGGGAGGGAATTTGAAACAAGGATGAGTGGTTGAGATCTGCTGTGTGCCTGACAGGATGGCATAAATTTGTCACCAGAGAGAGATCTGGATACGAGGCGGGCAGAAAGGGTCAGGAGTGCACTGTGGGCCTGGACTCTGGGCCTTGGGGAGGAGGGGGCTGGTATGTGGATTTGGGTGCTTGAAGGGAGATAGGACTAGTTCCCAGCAGCAGAACTGAGGACCTGACATTTGGCATAGTTTAGGGTTCAGGTCTGCACTGTGTGGGAGTTGCCAATGCCCGTGGGTCGGATTACAAGCAGGAGATCAAGCTCAGTACATGGCTATAAATACATCTCTGGACTCAGCAAGGGCTCAGAGACCCAGAAAAGAACACTGGCACTCTAATACGTGAAAAGTTGTAACCAGGGCCCCCAAATTTTAACTAGCAAGGCGTTGTCAATGCCACAGATACCTTTATTGCTCGTTGCCTCTCACATTCCAACCCCTTATTCCCACCGTCCCATCCTCGACTACGCGAAAACTCAAACTCCCGGCATCCCATGCCGGAGAAAGTACTACAACTCCCAGAAAGCTCTGCGCTCGAGCAGGGCTCCGGAGTGTAGGAGCTCATGAATTTTCAAGGTTCCCGCGCTCATTTGCTATTGGTCTTCACGGAGGCGTGGCCACGGGAGGTCCGTGGCGGTGATTGGCAGGAAGCTCTTGTTGCTCAAGGTCCCAGAGGAGGCGGCGGAGCCTACGCAGTTCACAGTGCAGGGCATCGTCCGTGACCGGACCCGTGAGACGCAGGCGCGAACTGCCCAGTGGCAGGATGAGTGGAGGATGAGAAGAGAAGCTTTCGAAGATATCTCCTGCGAGACCGAAGGAGGATTGATTTAAAGTCAGAAAAGAGGCTCAGAGCAACTGCGACAGAGGGAGTCAAGCTGCCTCTTCTTCTAAAGAGAACAAACCCCCAGCAACATCTGGATCAGCATCTGCTCAAACTCTGCGCCTCAAAGCATGATGGGAGTTGTAGTGCGGCTCAAAGCATGATGGGAATTGTAGTACAGACAAGGGCAGGCCACTGTGGCCTAAGAAGGAATGGTTGGGAGCTTATTGCTAGGGATTCTTGTGGATGGAGGGTGTGGATCTGACCTCCTAGGTACAGAAAGGAAGTGTCTGTGTATGGAAGAAACTGGGTCTGAATCTCTAAGACAAAAACAAGGGGGAGAGAGTGGAATGCCTGGCTGGATCCTAGGGAGAAAGGAAATTGGAATCCAGGCACTTGGGTAGATCCCGGGAGACGAAGAGAGCAGAAGTCCAGAATCTTGGAAGAGAATGAAAATATGGACTCTTTGTACCTGCCAGCCCCAGTGCTTGTACCCCATTTTTCCTCACCTGTATCCACAGCATCTCGCTCTGTGGGTGGAGGGTCCCAGGCAGATGGGGGCCCACGCCCAGGACCCAACTGGTAGTGACTGAGCACGTGGTGGAGTTGAGCTGGAGTCAGGGTCGGGTGGTCAGTGCGCAGACTGCTCCACGAAGCCTAATGGGAAGAGCAAGTGAGGAGAGGATGGTCCATTATGGGACCCCTGAGAAATCCTAAATGGAAGACCTTGCATAGAGAAGGTGGATATAGAGGGTGGAGAGGACAGTTTGGGTTGTGTCATCTGGATGCTGTGAGATCTGGCTGTGGCTGACATGGTGATGAAGAGAACTTCCTCAAAAGGGGGAGAAGGCTGTTTTCAGAATAAAAGAGGATACAGGAAGTGGATGGAGGCATAGAAGACTCAAGATTGGCTGTTGGCTTAAATCACCGAATGATGTGTACAAGATCTCGTCTTCTACGAGGCTGCTTTTTAAATTGGTTTGATTCAAATCCACCAGATGCTTTGCTCGAGAAGGAGGAACAATGTCCTTCTGTACCAGTCAGATCTGATTTGACGGTACACACAAAAAATAATGAAATAAAAAAAAAATAATGGCAAGCTCTGGTGGCCTAGGGGCAAGAAGCTGCACTGCAATCCCAGAGGTCCACGGTTCAAAGCCACCAGATGCTCTGCTGAAGAAGGAGGAACAATTTCCTGCTGTACCAGTCAGATCTAATCTGGCAGTACACACACACACAAATAAGAAAATAAAATAAATTTAAATTGGTTTGAAAATTTCTAAATCAAACATACTTCACGGGACAGCGTCCAAGGCAAAATACTAAGCCCAGTGCCTGATGTTCAGTTTATGCTCAAAAGAAGATTTAAACCAGTACATTCCTTGTTCTTACACCAGGCTTCCTGAATCAGCATGTGTGGGGAAGAAGCTTCGGAAACCATGTCTCTGGGACTCAAATGCAGTCAAGTTTGGACACTGCACATACTGGCTTTCTTCTAAAGCTGCCAAATCTAAGTGTCTGAGCTGGATCTGGGGATGGTGTGGGGTTTAACGGTGAGCTGAATAGATAGAGTAGTTGGGAGCCCAGAGGTCAAGTCAGAGCTAACTGGGAATCACCTTGAGCAAGGAGGTGCGAGGCACACAGAGCAAGTTCACAGCCATGGACAGTTTCCGGAAGAACTCTGTGGCAATGTCACCAAGACCGGCCCCCTGCAGCCAGTCCAGGACAAGGTCAAGGTTGGTTCGGATCTGGACAGCTCTGGACCACTGATAAAAAGGTCGGCCTTGACCTATAGGGGGAGAGCATAAGGCCAAATGGGTGCATGGACTCCACTCTCCAGGCCCTACGTCTGGAAAAAGCAAGTTCATTCTCTTAAGTTCTCGAAGGTGAAGCCTCATCCTGTGGTGTGTGACTTGACACGACTCTGGATGACTCCTGTCTCTGCCAATGACTCCTATTCTCTCCCAACCTGGCCCTCACCTCGTTCCATCAGTGAGTTGAGAAGGGATGCATTGGAGAAGAAGAATAAGTAGCCGAATGTCTGAGACACAAGGTCTGGGTGCAGCTCACACTGGCTGGTCAGTTCCAGGGCGGCCTGGAAGACGCCCAGGGTAGGTCTCAGCCCTGGAGGCATGGCCCCGAGCTCAGCACCAGGCCCTGGCAGCTCTGCTCCAGCTGTGAAGGGGTTACTATCCAGGAGAGCAGGCAACGTTGAATACAGTGTCTGAGAAGAGAAGAGAGAGAACAATCATCAGACTACAACTCCCAGGGAGCTTCAGGGCAGAAGATTTTTCATAAGAGGTTTCTGGGAGTTATAGTTCATTCTACCTCCACTAATGCTGTCCGTGAGGAAAACTGCATTTAACCAGATTTCTAGCATTCATCAGCTCTAGGATGCCTCCAGTCTTGCAAAGCCTTTCCTGAAGTTTTTTAGTCTTTTGAAACCACAATACACAATTGTATAGTGGGTTTATTAGACTTTATAGTTAGCTAATTATATTCATCAATGGCAAAGTTATGAATGAGACAAAACAAATTGTTAAGAAACCAAACATGATTTGTATACCTTCACTCCAATAAAAAGAATTTTAAGAAAGAGCTAATTGAAAACCACTTCAAGTGCTTTATGGGACTTGGGGTTTTCCACTGAAAGGACAAAGGCTACTTGACAAAGAGGGCCTCTTCAGGCAAAGAATTCTTTACCCCGAATTCCCAAAGGAAAGAACAGAGATCAGGAAGTGGGGGTGAGATGGCAGTCAGCCAGTGGAAAGTGAGATTTGGCCAAGGACAGGAAATGAGGTCAGAGCCAGAGAAGAAAGAAAACCACTTGGCAAGGACGCACAGGAAGTGAAGCTTTGGAGGTAAAGGCTTCACAAATCAGGGCTGTGACTGGCATTGAGAGACTATCTGTTTCAAAAGATTTCTTCTCATTTCACAGAGCATCCAGCCTGTCAGAAACCAGAAATCCTGAGAATTCAAAGAAGTAATATTACACTCTCAAGTATTGGTGGTAAGAGACGGACAGACAGAAGGTGCTGCAGGACGGGTGTTCCAGGGAGAAAAAGATCTACAGCTTGGACAGGAGAGAGTGTAAAAGTGAAGAACTAACACAGCTGACGTCAACAAAGAAAGTGCGGCCCGATAAAAGAGCATCTTCCATTGAAATGACAGCACCTGATACTTGACAGGCATTTGATCAACATTTTTAACTTTATCAGTGACTGAAGAACGGACCAAGAGAACAAAAGCTTAAAAAAGTGTTAATTGAAGGGAGCTCTGGTGGCCTAGTGGCAAGAAGCTGCACTGCAATCCCAGAGATAAGGGTTCGAATCCACCAGATGCTCTGCTGGAGAAGGAGGGGCAATCTCCTCCTGTACCAATCAGATCTGATTTGATGGCACACATAAATAAAACAATAAAATTAAAAGAAATTTAAAAAAGTAAAAGTGTTAATTGAAGGGAGCTCTGGTGGCCTAGTGGCAAGAAGCTGCACTGCAATCCAAGAGGCACAAGGTTCGGATCCACCAGGTGCTCTGCTGGAGATGGAGGGACAATCTCCTCCTGTGCCAGTTGGATCCTATTCATCAGTACACGACAACAACAAAGGAAAAAAAGAAAGAAATAAAGTGTTAATGGTAGTGCAGCTAGGTGGTGAGGTCAATCTGGCAGGAGGTAATAGTTGCACAGACAGAATGAGAAACCGAAAGGCAGTAGTGATCAAAGCCCAGACAGGAAGCGATGTCAGAAGTGCTGGGGTGAAGTGGGAAATGATGTCATAGAAGCAGGCAGTGCTGCACAGTTAAATAAAAAATGACCTCAGAACAACGGATACAGTTCAAGTCGGAAGTGGGCTTCGGTCAAACAGGAAGCAAAGGGGCAAGGCCAACCTTGGTGAGGTAGTAGACAGACTGCTGGAAGGTACACATGATGACCTCATCCAGGAGGGCCATGGCTTCGTCACATAATTCCAGGTCATTGCAGAGCTGTGGGTCTGAGCACAGGGCCAGGAGTGAGAGGGCGAACGAGGGGACTGGCAGTGGGAGGGGGTGTGGCAGGAAGCCTGGTGGGGTCTAGGGGAGGCCTCACCCTCCTGGTCTGCCTCCTTCTCCATCTCCAGCACCTTCTCCTGTACAAAGCTCAGCAGCTCTGTGGTGTTGGCCATCCACAACATGAGGGGCCGCAGCTCCACTGACACAGCCTCAGGGGTCAGGGGCACCTCGGGGACCCCCTCAGGGTGGCTGGGGAAGGGGGGGGAAGAAAGCCATGATCCCTGACTGTAAACACAGAAACCCCTGAGTTGGTTTTTTTTTTATTATTATTTTGTGGGTGTACCATCAAATCGGATCTGACTGGTACAGGAGGAGATTGCCCCTCCTTCTCCAGCAGAGCATCTGGTGGATTTGAACCATGTACCTCTGGGATTGCAGTGCAGCTTCTTACCACTAGGCCACCAGAGCTCCCTGGAAACCCCTGAGTTTTATCTATCAAAGACTAGATCTCATATTGCAGCTGGAAAAAGCTGAATATCAGCGGCGAACAAACACGTGCATCCGCGAGCATGCAATGAACCCAGAGTTCAAGGCTGATCCAGACACCCTACTTTCCTCCCCCACCCTGCGCCCCAAAATTTCTCTTACTTTTCTGGCTGACGGTCTCCAATTTCTTTAATCTTTTCCTGTGGGACAGGAAGACCAGATTTAAGATGAGACGTGAGCCACTGGGAGGGAACGGAGCGCACAGACTATTCTAGAAGCATTTTTTTTTATCATACTTTCTCTACAAAATGATCTCCAACCCCAAACTCCAAAATGTTCTACCTACCTCACCTTCTTTTAAAGACTATCTTACCCACACACGCATGTTGTATCAATGACCTATGCCCTCAGGTGTTCTTCTGCACAAGTGGACTTTCTTACCCGCCAAAAAAACCTCTCTCGATCTACTGACTAGGCCTCGAGTCAACAACATGGAATCTTTCCCCAAAGACAGACTGGTTTGTCTTCGTCCAGATCATCAGTATGCACAGAGAGTCTGCTCTTTGCCTCCTGGAATGGCCCAGCTCACTCTTGCTCCAAATTTAAGAGCCAGTGGGTATCCTGCCTCGTTTCTCATAATGGTCCTTCCCAATCTCACTTTTATCTTCTCATGCATTTAACTCTCCAAATATACTTTCTCCTTTTATCTTACACCCATATTAGGCCTTGCACTTTTTTTTTTTTTTAGAATAGTGGGCAAACCCTCAACTCCCAGCATCCCATGGGCCCTCCCCAGGGCTTTTTGGGAGAGGTGGTTTCCTTCTGCTCAGCTAAGATGCACAGGCTGAATGAAGGTGGGGAGCCTTGAACAGGGCGCACGGTGTCACAGGGGCTGAAGGGTGTTTGGGGGTGCTCACCCAGACGGCCTCCTTGATGAGCCTGGCCAGGCGGCCCAGCAGGCGTGGCAGATGGCCCAGCTCCAGCTCCCGGGCTGAATGCTGCACGCACAGGGCCAGCAGCGTGGCCGGGCCGAGCGGTGGCAGGTCCCCAGTGCCCGAAGCGGCGGCTCGCACAATCTCACCTAGCAGCGCCTCCTCCTCGCGCGGCCGGAAACGCAGCACCGGCTCGCGGCCGTCCAGGTAGGCGGCCAGGGCCTCCCCACGTTCCTGCAGGCCGCGGCCGCACAGGCGGCACGAGAAGGCCCAACCTGGGCCGGGGGGCATCGTGCCGGGGCGCGAGGGCAGCCAGGGCGGCCTGGCCGGCCCAGAGCCCCCTGAGCGGGGGTCCTTGTACATGAACAAGAAGTGCTCGCCCAGCCCCAGCAGGTCGCCTGGGTGCAGCTCGGCCTCCCGCAGCAGGAGGCACCCGTTGTGCGTGACCGGGGCGCCCCGGGATGGGCGCACCATGGCTGGGGGCTCCGGGCCCGCGCGCACCGTGCAGTGACGAGGCAGGATGTCGGGGGCGGTGAGGAAGGTGTCCACATAGGGCGCCGGGGACCCGCCGCGGGCAGATGAGTTCCCACCCCGGCCGAACACGTGCTGCTCCCGGGTCATCACGTATACCACGAAATCCTGGAAGAGATTGAAGATGCGTTCAGGACACACTTCAGGGAGGGACAGGGCCACGTCCAGCCTCACCTCCAGTGAATGACCGAGCACTCCCCGAAGGTCTCCTTGGATCCCTGAGGACTGTCCAATCACTCCCACCTTCCAGAAGAAGATTCTTTGAAGGTACCCACTCTCTTTGATGGAATGAACACAGTCAGGGAAAGACTGCACTGGACACCTCTTTTCTGATTAATTTTCCCATTTCTCCTTCCAACAAAAGGGATACTTTCAAAGATACTTTCTCCTCTTTGAAATGGATTCTCCAATTTTCTCACCTCCTGAATGGACTTTTTCCAAGACAACCCTTTGCTACCCCAATAACATCCAATCCAAGAAACATAAGCTGAATTGACACCACATCCCTCAATTGAATTCACTCAGCACCACCTCATCAAAGAATTGACCTTCCCAAGAGATCTTTCTCCACGAAATTTCCTCATTACCCCTTAAAGGCTTCAACCTCAGGACAGAGCCATGTCTCTTTCCAATGGTGGTCCCGGTCAATATTATCAATATAAAGAATGGATTCTTTAAGGAGATGATACCTTGATACCTTCTCCCCTTGAAAAAAGCCTTCTAGGATCCACAATCCAATTAATAAAGATCCCTTCCCACAAAGGAGTCTATTTTCCCCCCTAGTCGCATAATGAGCTCATATCCAAAAGGATGGATAGATAGATAGATAGATAGATAGATAGATAGATAGATAGATAGATAATATAGATATATTCCTACCATGGATTCAACTCCTGTATTTCCACCATTCCCAAGATACAGACTTCCAAAGATACTCCCCTCTCCACTTCCACAATGCTAAGGTTGTTCAGTGCCATCAAGTCGACCACAAGTAATAGTGACCCTACGGACACCATTCTGACCTTACCCTATCCTGGGCCATCCTAACCATCTCTGATATATTTTAGTCCAATGACACAGTGATTGTGTCAGTTCACCTCATTGAGGGTCATGCTTTCTTTCATTGACCCTCCACCTTTCCATGTATAGTATCTTTTCCCAAGGACTGGCCCCTCCTCACAATCTGTGAGATGAAGTTTCACCATCCTTGCCTCCAGGAAGCAAGCACTCTACCTGAATTTCCTCAAAGACAGACACGTTTGCTCTTTTGGAACTCCGTGGGATAGTCAGTACCCTTCTCCAACACCCTCACTCAAAGGCATCAATTCCTTTTTCATTCTCAGTCATTGTCCAACTTTTGATTCATAGTTGGTAATTGATCCATAGCATGCCTTGCATCAGGTGCACCTTAGTCTTTAAATGGACATCATTGCTCTTTAACACCTTGGAAAGGTCCTTAACATCTGGTTTTCCCAATATAATGTGTCTTTTGATTTCTTTTGTTCTTTCTTTCTTTTGCTTTCTTGACTGCTGGTGCCAAAGGTGTTGATTGGCCAAGTGAGATAAAATTGTTGATAACTTCGATCTTTTCTCCATCTGCCATGATGTTGCCTGGTGGTCCAGTGGTGAGAATTTTTGTCCCCTGATGTTGAGCTGTAATCTGTATTGAAGGCTGTATTATATAGTCTTTGATCTTCTGCAGAAAGCACTTCAAGTCTTTGTTTTCAGCAAGGAAGGTTGTATTTAGTATCTGCACAAGGCAGGCTGTTGATTAACCTTCCTCCAATCCTGATGCCACATTCTCTTCAATAGTTCAGTTTATCAAATTATTTGCTCCCCACACAGATTCAATAGGTATAGAGAAAGAATACAGCTCTGACACACACCTAGATTTTAAAACATGCCTCTGGAAACTATGACGATAGTTATAGAAAGGCTTCTGCTGTTTTGTTCAGAGGGTCGCTATGACTCATGCTCAACTCAACACACACCTTTCTTGATTTTATTGGATGATATTTTTTTTCTTGTGTATCATCAAATCGGATCCGACTGGCACAGGAGGAGATTGCCCCTCCTTCTCCAGCAGAGCATCTGATGGATTCGAACCACACGCTGCTTCTTGCCACTAGGTCACCAGAGCTCCCTCCTTTCTTGATTTTAAACTATGCCTGTGTAAACTCTATGAACTTTGAGAAATGACAATAGTTATAGAAAGCCTTCGGGTCTTTTGTTCATAGGGTTGCTATGAGTCGAGCTCAACTTGACAGCAATCAACCACCACCACCACAACAGTGCTCCCTTGCTCTGGACAACAGCTTCTTGGTCTAGGAATAGGTGTCTCATAAGAACAATGAAGTATTCAGAGGACAATATTTCTATGTCAAGAACATAGAAATATCCTGGAACTCTGGCGACCTAACTCTGGTGCTTACCCATCCCCTTTGACATGAATGGTTAGTTTCCAAAGACTAAGTTGTTATGTGAAAATTGCTAGAGTACGAAATGGAGAATGACTACATCAAAGAACAGAATGGAAAATGGTTTCATACTGTGAATTATGGTCCAGCCAGGTGACCCATCACCTTACCCATCACAGCCAGAGTCACGCTTGCCTCACACCTCCACCTTCACCCCTCCACCCTACCATCCCTTTGTCCTCGATACACAAAACAGACTGCGGCCTTGTCACTATCGTAAATGCAAACTGTAGGATAATGAGATAGTCGATATGGGAATTGTTGTTGTTAGATGCCGTCAAGTCAACTATGACTCAGAGTCACCCTCCAAACAACAGCCCTGCACCATGCTCACAATAATCTAGGCCATGCTTGGGTCCCTTGTCAATCCAGTCTGGATAAAAATGAAAGTCTGACATCTCGCTTTCTTCACCATCCATGCCTGAGGAAAAAAAAAATAGGCAGCCTGATGTATATAAAGGGAGCTGTCTAGTGGTAGAGTCTGCAGTGGGTTCCACTGATAACCCAAATATCAAGCCTCTCTGGCTGCTAGAATCCACAGGCGAAAGATGGCCAAGCTCCCATGTGCTTTGCAAGCCAGGGGAAGGCCCAGCTACACGTCGGTGATGATTCCAGTCACAAGTGAGTGATTTGCAGATAAATCCCCTTGTTGTTGTTGTTATGTGCTGTCGAGTCATTTGCGACTCATAGCGACCCTATGTACAAAAGCCCTAAACTCTGCTCTGTCCTGTGCCAATCTGTCTCCGATACACCCATCCCAATTACCTCAGTCACTGAATCAATCCACCTCATAGAGGGCCGGGCCTTCCCCTCCTGCGCTGTCCCTCCACCCTCCCAAGCATGATGTCCTTCTCCAAGGACCGGTCTCTCCTTACAACATGTCCAAAGTGTGTCAGACGAAGCCTCAGAATCCTTGCCTCCAAGGAGCTGCCCGGTTTAACCCTCTCCAGGCGGAATCTGTTTGTTTTCCTAGCAGTCCATGGTACACTCAATACTCTTCTCCAGCACCACAGCTCAAAGGCATCAATTCTCCTTCTATCCTCCTTCGTCATTGTCCAACTGCTTACTACCCTGAATTCTCCCATCCCCTTCACACCATGAATGGACATTTCTAATGAGACTCCTTTCTACAATGGATTCACTCATAAATCAGACTCTGCAGTTCTTCATTCTGAAGGAAGGCGTGATCCAGAGTACACAAATCTCCAGTTTGCAATAATTTTGTTTCTGTTCCCCAAAAGGGTGTTTTTACAGTATCTACAATGAACTCGTACAATTTCAGCTACTCTATAAATAGTCAGATCCAAAGATGTCTCCTCTTTGATAAGTTCACCTATTTAATCTTGTCGCTGAGGAACAGACACTTCCACCTAAACCCTACAGAGGAATTTCTCAGGAACCCCACCCCAAGTAATGGAGGCTGTCAATACTTTCGCCTCTTCCTCAAAATGAGTCTTAACCTCCTACCTGGATGTGAATCTTTCCAATTTGACCACCTTTCCTAAATAGCCTCTGTAGTTGTTATGTGCTGTCGAGTTGCCTGCAACTCATAGCGACCCTGTGTACAACAGCCCTAAATCCTTCTCTATCCAGTGCCAATCTCACTGTCTCCAATACACCCATCCCGATTACCCCAGTCACTGCTAACTCTGCTTATAGAGAGCACTTGGGCTCCTGGCTGCTGCAAGTGGTTAAGTGCTTGACTGCTAGACAAAAGGCTGAAGGTTCAAACCCACCCCAGTGATGCTTTAAAGCACAGACCTGGTGATCTGCTTATGAAAGGTCACAGCTTTGGAACCTCTGTGGATCAGTTCTCCTCTGTACACACGGTCACCTTGTGTCCACCTCATAGAGAGTCTTCTTCTCCTGCGCTGGTCCCTCCTTGCAACATGTCCAAAGTATGTCAGATGAAGCTTCAGATTCTTTGCCTCCAAGGAGCAGCCTGGTTTCACCCTCTCAAGGAATGAATCTGTTCATTTTCTTAGCAGTCCATGGAATATTCAATACTCTTCTCCAACATCACAGCTCAAAGGCAAGAGTTCTCTTTCTATCATCCCTAGTCATTGTCCAATTCTCTGACACATAGCAAGTGATTGCAAAGGCCAGGGCCTGTATCAGGTGCACCTTAGTCTCCAGAGTGACACCATTGCTCTTCAGCAATGGTCCAGCCAGGTGACCCATCACCTTACCCATCACAGCCAGAGTCATGCTTGCCTCACACCTCCACCTTCATTCCTGACATCCCTTTGTCCTCAATATGCAAAACAGTCAGACTATGGCCTTGTCACTAGTGTAAATGCAAACTGTAGGATGAGATAGTCAATATGAGAGGTCCCTACCAGCAGACCTTCCCATCAACAATCTGCGTTATGCACATGACACAACCCTGCTTGCTGAACCTGAGGAAGACCTGAAGTGCTTGCTTTAGAAGCCTTCAATATGGATTGAGGCTGAACATCAAGAAGACAAAGATTCTCACCACTGGGCCAATTAGCAGCATCAGGATGGATGGTGAAGGGATTGAGATTGGTCACAACTTTAGTTTGCTTGGCTTCAAGGTCAACACTCTTGGTACCAGCAGCCAGGAAATTAAAAGACGTATTGTGATGGGAAATAGCCTCTATTCTTCTATATTCTTGAAAGTTGGATTGTTTAAAGAAAAAAATGGAAATTCCTTACTCTAATGAGATATCCTTATTCCTTTGCCTTAACAAGGAAGAATGAATTCTTTCATGAAAGATACTCCCTGAATAGAGTTGTAGCCTCTGACCCATCTACTGAACCATGCTGCCTAGCCTAATTGGGTCTCTCTCTTCCCAACTGCCCAGTAAAGAAAGCTCCACTCCAGGCTCGACACTCCCAGTGGTCCAGCTGGCAATCTGGACCGTGGCTATCCCATTGCCACCCACAGGTGGACAACATCTTTGGATTTGGATCCTCCCCAGCCACCAAAAAGACACGAATAGTTCTGACAATACATGAATTACTTTTCTATTGATAAAATGGTTTCTCATTGTCATGCCTAGAAAATGTACTTTCCTGCTTTCCTTTCTAAGAAATAGATGCTTCCACAAGGAGCTGCAACTGGCGCATGGTTCGAATCCACCAGATGCTCTGCTGGGGAAGGAGGGACAATCTCCTCCTGTACCAGTCAGATCTGATCTGACAGTACACTCACACACACAAAAAATAAAATAATTTTTTTTTAAAAAAAGAAAGAAATAGATGCTTCCAAAGACTCCTTTCTATAGCCTTGACAAGGAGAAAGTTTTCTTCTAACTTTACAGGAAATAAACCAGTACTTATTTTCTCATCCGCCTGCTGTCTGACCTTTCTCATGTCGTCAATGGTTTCCCCCAATCACAACCCTTGCTGAGATCCAGCTTCCAAGGGAACTCAGTGCCAAGGCAACGCAAGGGTTGCAGCTAGGTGGCCCTTCAGTGGACAGACAGGTGGGGGCCTGGGAGGCAGGTGCTTGCCTGGGCATCCTGGTAGCCCTGGAGCAGCAGGAAGTAGGGGCGGTTGCTGGGGGCCTGAATGAGGCATTGGGTCAGCTGGTCGAAGTCGCCGGGGTCCACAGGTACTATCTGGGCACCTGCTGCCCCGGGGGCCATGCTGAGTGCCTGCTGCCTGCGCTCCTGCTGCCTCCTCCGGCGGCCTTGCAAACTGAGCTCCGACACGCTGCGCCGCAGGGACAGGTTTTCCGAGCGCTCCTTGCCTCCGGACCCCGTGGAAGGGCCGGAGCCTGAACTTGGACCTGGACTGGCCAGGGCGGCCCCACCGGATGCGGCCCGGGATCGGTTCTTCTGTGGCCGCCACGAGGGGGCGCCCGTGCCTACGGAGAGAGATGGAGAGAGAGTGAGGCTGGAATTGAAGAGACCAGAGAGGGAATGACATCAACCCACCGCGGGGGACTCGATTGGGCCTCCCAGCAACCTTGTAGGTAGGAGCAGAAACCCCCTACAGGAGTTCTTAAGATGTAATTCTTTTTTTTAATTAATTTTACACTTCACCAGAGAAAACATTCAGATGGTCAACAAGCACATGAAGAAATGTTCAAAATCCCTAGCTCTAAGAGAGATGCAAATCAAAACTATGAGATATCATCTCACTCCAGTCAGAATAGCAAAATTTAACAGAACAGCAAGCAGCAAATGCTGGTGAGGTTGTGGAGAAACTGGAACCCTTATTCACTGTTGGTAGAAGTGTAAAATGGTGCAACCACTTTGGAAGGCGGTATGGCGTTTTCTCAAAAAGTTGCAAATAGAGATGCCATTTGACCCAGCAATTCCACTACTGGGAATATACCCCAGAGAGACCATAACTGCCACCCAAGCAGATATATGCACACTCATGTTTATCACCGCTTTGTTCACAATAGCAAGGAGTTGGAAACAATCTAAGTGCCCATCAACAAACGAATGGATAGAGAGGCAGTGGTATATTCACACAATGGAATACTATGCTGCATTGAAAAACAAGGAACTCATGAAATATTATTCAAAACGGGTGACCCTGGAGGACATTATGCTGAGTGAAATATCTCCATCACGAAAGGACAAATACTGCATAGTGCCACTGTTGTAAAATGGAACTGACATTGGGGTTGGGAGGAGACTGAGAAAGAGGGAACAATGCATACTGCATTGAAACAGATGAGGGAGAGAACTGTTTAAAAGGGATGTGTGACTGGGTATTATTGTCATGACAGGAGTCCAGAACGAAGGCTGCATAGTGGAGTGGACCTGGGGGAAGCGATTGTAAAACAATGAAAGAATTTTTCCTTTACTTTTCAAAGAGAAGAGTTTACTGGGGTGGTGGAGAGGTGGGCAGGGAGAAAAGTGCAACAATAAATGAATGGAAATCCAAAGTCTCTGTAAATTTTCATTAAAATTAATAATACAAAATTTTAAAAAATTAATTTTAATGAAAATTTATAGAGACTTTGGATTTCCATTCATTCATTGTTGCATTTTTTTAAAAGCTGTAATTCTTAGTGGAAGCAGACTTCCTCATCTTCAGTTAACAGCCAACCTTTAATCCGTGTTTACAGAGAAACAGAATTGGCCACAGAGAGGAGAGGGACCTTGGGTTGCTTTACTAAACCAAAGGCTAAGATACTTTGGCGGTTCGAGTCCCCTAGTTCCTCTGTGGGAGAAAGATGGCCAGTCTCCTCCCGTGTGATTTTGCAGCCTCTGCAAACCCCCGCTGGAGGGTCAGCTGTGAGTCAGCTCTGACGCTACAGCACATACCATCAACGACAACACTATGTTTAAGAAATAAGGGACGCCGGTGGCCTAATAAGTGTTAGTGGCTATTCACTGAAAGGGCAGTGGTTCGAACACACCAGCCACTCTTCTGGAGAAAGGTATGGCAGTCGGCTTTCATAAAGAGTTACAGCTTTGGAAAGCCTGTTCTGTCTTCCAGAGGGGCTGTGAGTTGAAATAGGCTCAGTGGCACTGAGCTATGTTTTAAGAAAGAGGTCTGGTTAAAGTACTCGTCTGCTAACCAAAAGGTTGGCGGTTCCATGCCACCCCACCAGCCGTTGTGCAGGAGAAAGACCCACCAATGTGATTCAGGAAAGATTAGAGCCTTGGAAATACTAAGGAGTGGTTCTGCTCAGTCCTTCAGAGTTCCTACGAATTTAGAATCCACATAGTACCAGTGGGCGTGATAGTGTTTTAGGTGTTTAAGCCCTGTGCACAACCCTGCATATATAGGATACCTTTTTTGGCTCCGAGGTGAACGGACAGATGACTCAGGGTTTAAGCCTGAGTTTAAAGCCCACAAGTTTAACTGCTACCACCCTCACGCTTCCAAGGACACCTCAGAGACTCTTTGACTAGTTAGTCTCTTCCCCTAAGGCCTTCACCACTGCCAGGCTCCAAACTAATTGTTCGTACCTGAGCGCAAATCAAACTAGATCCATCACCAAGGACCTAGTTTCCATTTGGGCCATTTCTCTGTTGTCACCACGTCCTGTTCCAAGACTCCATCCCCTCGTATGCATTTCTTTCAAGGCCCCTCCTCCTCATTAAACTTCTCAGCCACTCCACTTAAAGCACCTGCTGCAAACCCCGCCCCCTGAGCCCCTGCCCATTCGCTGGCACCTCAGGCCACACCCCCTTTCTCTTGCTCCTAATATTCCCCTTTCTAGGTACGACCCACCTGGGCCCCACCTGTCGTGAGTCACCTCCACTTGCTAAGGGAATCCACGTTCTGATCTCAGAGCACATCTGCTCTGTTTTAGGTCTTCTTTGCTACACTTTGCTGCAGGCCCCGCCCATTCACAGCCCTGCCTCCTGGCAGGCTCCGCCCCATCTCATAGAAGACCCCGCCCCATTCCCAGCCCCGCCTGATAGCAGACCCCACTCCATTCCCAGCCCCGCCTCATGGCAGGCCCCGCCCCCACCCGAAAGACAAGACCCGGACCACCCTTCAAGGTTCCACTTCCCACCTGCATACAGGTAAAAGGGTCAGCTATGAGTTGGTTCCGACTCGACGACAATTAGTGCATAGGTTGGAGGACAAGTTTCTATTTCTGCAATCTTTTGGGTAGCCCACTGTCTTTATCTTTCTCCTATGGGTATACTTGTGGTTCTAACCACTGACCTTCTGATTAGCAGCCAAATTCCTTAACACTTACGCCACCAGAACTCCCACTCAACCAAGACGCTCCACTCCATTTACAGGTCTATTCTCCAGGCCCCAATCATATTGCAGACTTCAGTCCTGCCCCCATCAAGGTCCACTTGATTCGGTCAGGCAGGGCCTCCCAACAGATTCATCTTGCCCCAAATCTCACTCTATAGATCTCCTTAGCCACGCCCAACTTATCAATCACTCCCAGCCCACCCTTGGCAAGTCTTTCCTGCCCCTGGGGCCCTGGCCCCTCTAGTCCCACCAGTCTCATTTCTCTCCCCTCCTTCCTGAGCCACGTGCTTTCCTACTCTCTGATTGGCCCTGCTCTTCCTACCCCACCTTGTCTTTTAAATACTGTCCCAGGTCCCAGCTCCTCCAGCCCCACTGTCCCCTCCCTTCTTGTCTTTGGGCCCGGTGCCCAAACTCCTACTCCTTTCATCAGTCCATCCATCCATCCATCCATCCATCCATCCATCCATCCATCCATCCATCTATCCATCCATCCAACACACTGCTCCAGTCGTAGTTGGTGGTGGTGTGTTAAGTGCCGTCGAGTTGACCACGACTCACAGCAACCCTATATGTACAATAGCTCTGAACCCTCCCCTATCCTGAGCCAATCTCTCTGTCTCTGAACCACCTACCCCCACTACCCCAGTTACTGTGTCGATTCATCTCTTTCAGGGTCTTCCTCTCCTGCGCTGACCCTCCACCCTTCCAAGCATGATGTCCTTCTCCAAGGACTGGTCTCTCCTAACAACATGGCCAAACTATGTGAGACAGAGCTTGCCTCCAAGGAGCAAATCAGCGCAGTAGATCTTCCCCATTGATCCGTCCTACTCCTTTCTGGCGCGCCCACCTCTCCCGCAGGCCCCGCTCCTGCCCGCCTGCCCGGTCATCAGGCCCCTCCTCCGCCCCGCCCACCGGCTCACCGTCGCTGTCCGCCGCTCCGAAGGCCTCCTGCTCCAGGCGGCGCGCCTCCTCGCGGCCGCGCAGCTCAAAGCGCCGCGCCCAGCCGGGCCGCGCTCGCCACAGCTCCTGCACCAGCAGCGGGCGCTCGGTGTCTCCCAGGACGCGCAGGTGCTCCGCCCTCCACTCGCCGCCGCCGCCGCCTCCTCCGCCCGCCGCCGGCCGGCCGAGCGCGTCGCAGAGCGCGAAGGCATCCACGCAGCTGCTCTCGCCGGGCGCGCCGCTGGGGCTGCCCGCCAGCCCGTAGCGCTCCAGCGCCTCGGCCACCAGCTCGCGCGCCGTGGAGCGCGCCGTGGCCAGCACGCTCTTGTAGTTGGCGCCCGACGCTAGCCCAGCGCCGAAGATCTTGAGGACCCCGGGGGGCGCCGTGGCGCGGGTGACCAAGGCGGGCTCGGGGGCCACGCCCGCCGCCAGCTCGGGCAGCTTCTTCTCGCTGGCCCAGCGCTGCGCGCCCCCCGGGGTCCCCGGGCCGCCCGCGCCGCCGGACCCCGTGGTCCCGGTCCCTGAGCCCCGGAAGAGCTGAGAGATGCGCTTAGCGCGGCTACCGGAGGCGCCCCCGGCCGCCTTGACTGCTCCCACCCGCCGCAGCTCCACGTGCGGCGGAGGCGGGGGCAACGGCTCGCTGCTGCGGCTCCCCGTGTCGGAGGACGAAGACCTGGGAGCCGGCGGGGGAAACAGACCCCCCAGAAAGACACACAGGGATGGGGAGGTGGGGAGGGAAAGGCAAAGATCCAGGAGGTTAGAATCCCATAGTAGGTGCAGAAAAGCGCGGTGGAACAGAGATGGAGGGTGGACAGAGGTCACGGGGAAAGAAAAATAAAATAAATAAATAAATAAAGGCAAGCGCTATAAAAGGAAGTTCCACCAAGTGGGCAGGGAGGGAGGAAGGAAGGTGAGTCAAACCCCTGTACCCAGTGTCCCCCCACTCTGAGCCCATGGGGCCTGTCTCCATCTCCAGGCCCAGCACTTCCCCACGCGCCTTGACTCGCTGTGTCCAGCTCCCTCTCCCTGCCCAGCAACCAACCAACCATCTTGCTGGTCCAATTGAGACAGGAACCCGAGTCAACTTTTCAGGGGTCCTTGGCCGAGCCTAGGGGTCACTTACTTGACAGAGGCAGCGCTAGGCCAGCGCCGCCCCAGCTTGGCCAGCTGCTTCCTAGGAGAATTGATCCACAGGCCCACCGGGAGATGGAGCTTCCCGAAGCGGGGGCTTCCGCCCTCCTTCCGCTCACCCGGTAGCATGGCCCTAGGGGAGATGGGTGAGACCCCAGCCTCTCAGGCGCTGCGTGGTGGGGATGGAGGAGTAGGGGGTCTGGACTCCTGAGTCAGAGGGAGGTGGCTGGAGGCTCCGGGTGCTGGTGGAAGGAGAGGCCTGGGAGATAGGGCTACTAGGTGCTGGGAGAAGAGGGACTGGGACCTCTGGTTGGCTCAGAGGAGGGCCCTCGAGTCCTGGGTCCTTGCTCTTACCCTGCTTGGGGTCCCCGCAGCACCCGGAGGCCCTGGCTCTGCTGGCCTGGGTGGTTCCCGATCCCACTGCTCTGGTTTCGGCCTTTGCCTCTGCCCCAGCTCCCAGCACTGGGTGGGGGACAGGAAAGGACGAGAGGAAGCCCGGCAGGAAGAGCGGGGAGGGGGCGTCCTGTGAGGGGACTCGGCCTGGGGGAGGAGATCTGGGGAGGGCTGGCCCAGCCCCAGCAAGGACTCTGCAATGACATGGCAGCCAGTTGCCCCCCCTCTTCCAGGATCCAGGGGTCCTGGTCCCCAGGTCCTCCTTCCTCAGATAAACTTCCACCCTCGGACCTCTGTGGGAGCCCAAAGAAAGGAGCAGGCAGGAGCAATGAGTCAGACACTTGGACAACACGAGACGCCTTTATTGTGGCTCTTAGTCTGGGGCCATTTCCTCTGGCACCTGGGGGTCCTGCACAGAGCTGTGGTCAAAGCTGAATGGAGGGTGCTTTGGGGGGTCCTCCAAGGTCTTCTGAGGCATCCCCAGAGGTTTTCTCTAGAAGCTTCTCTTGTGCCCTCTCCTGAGGCCTCTCCTGGGGCTTTTCCAGAAGCGTCTCCTGAGGCCACTCCTGGGGCGTCTCTAGAATCTTCTCTTGTGACATGTCCTGGGATTTCTCTTGAGGACTCTCCTGGGGCTTTTCTAGAAGCTTCTCTTGTGACATCTCCTGAGATCTCCCTTGAGGACTCTGGGCCTTTTCTAGAAGCTTCTCTAGTGGCATTTCTAGAAGCTTCTCTTGTGGCATCTCCTGAGATTTCTCTTGAGGCCTCTCCTGGGGTTTTTCTAGAAACTTCTCCCTTGACATCTCCTGAGGTCTCTCCCGGGGCTTCTCTAGAAGCTTCTCTTGAGGCCTCTTCTGGGGCATCTCTTGAGGTTTCTCTGGGAACATCCTTGAAGGTGTCTCCAGAGGATTCTCCTGAAGCGAGCTTTGAGGTCTCTCCTGAATCCTCATTAGAGGTTTCTGATACTGAAGGAAAAATATCCTGCAAGAGTATGCAAACAGTGGAATCAGGTTAGGGCCTGTGTGAGGGTCCTCATCCCAACACCCTCCTCTCTGCATGACTTTATTTTAGCGATCACCCAAGTCTCCCGTCCCATAAGCACTTCTCTCCCCCCACTCCTTCACCACCTCAGTTCTTCTGAGGAAGTCCCCCCTTCTGTTACGGAAGCCCCAGTCTAATCTAATTGACAGCTCGCTGAGGTCCCTCGAGCCAAGCCGGGCTGCCTCACACAGTCACAATGCCGGCCAGCAACATGCACATGGCACAGAGCAGAATCCATATGAGATGGTATTTCAGTGTATTGTGGCTTTCCTGCTTCTGATGACTCGGGACGATGTGGCTCACGGATACTTCCGGCGGCTTTGTCTCCACCTTGATTCTTCGAGGCAAAACTGATAGAAGGAAGGAGCCAGAAGAGCCCAGGGAGGGTGTAAAGGGGCCACTAGGGTGACCATGAGCTCCACTTCCAGCCCCAGCCGAGCCCCAAGCTCCCCCCCCATGTGGTCTCCAACTGTGCCCTCCCCCCAGGAAAATCATGCCATGTGACCAGAAGCCTTGCCCCGGGGCATAAGGCTCCCCCCTCCCCAGAAGTTGACTCCTCCGCTGGTCTCAACAAGCACTGACCTTTGACATGAAAATGTACAATGGTCGCCGGGCTGTTGTTGATGGTGCCCAGCTCACAGCGGTAGGTGCCAGCATCGCTCCGACTCACCATGGGCTTGGTCAGGGTGGGGCTCTTCCCTTTGGTCACCAGGGTCTCCGTCTTGTTCTCCCAAACCTAGACCCAAGCTCAAGGGGTCACAGAGGCCTCATAGATTGGGAAGTTAGGGGAGGAGGACAGGGGTGAAGGGACCTCGGGCGCGTGGGAAGAAGGGAGTCCAAGATACCACCGTTCATCGGTCTTAAAGGGCATGGGGCCTAGGGGATAGGCGGATGCCAAACCTGGTCATGGGGGGACAGGAGAGAGGACAGAGGGGCCAAGGGATGGATGGACTGAGAGTTTGGATTGTACGGATTATGGGGGTCCCAACCCTGTAAAAGCTGTAATCAGTGAGGCCTTCAGAAGCGTGATGCCAGCTGAATTCACAGTCTAGGACCATATCTTCCATCTGATGGACCGTGACTTGGTGCTCTGGGGATGGGAAGTTAAGATGTTTCCCTTGGTCTTTCCCCTAAACCCTCCATCTTCTCCCAACCCCTTCCACCTGGACACAGTCTCTTCCATAACTGGCATTCCATCTCCAGTCTAATCACTCACTACTTTTTAAAAAAATGTTATTATTTTTATGTGTGCATACCGTCAAATCAGATCTGACTGGTACAGGAGGTGATTAACCCTCCTTCTCCAGCAGAGCATCTGGTGGATTCGAACTACACACCTCTGGGACTGCAGTACAGCTTCTTGACACTAGGCTACCAGAGCTTCCCTACTTTTTTTTTTTTTTTTTTAAATAAGCACTTTCTTAAGTGGTAACAATTCCCACTAGGTTCAGCTCGCTCACCCCCACAATCCTTGGACTTCCGGCAAGCGTGAACTTGCTTCTCACAAGCATTGCACCAGATCAGGGCTTGCAGCATCAAACCTGCAGAAGCAGGGTCAAGGCTTGTGCACGCCCCCAAAGAGGCGGGGCTAAAAAGAGGGCGAGGGACTGTTGAGGGGCGTGGTTTGGGGAAGAGGGCGGGGCCTTGGGTCTGGTCCCTGGGTCCTCAGCCTGAGGGGCGGGGCAGGGATGCAGCCTGGTAGGAAGTGGGATGGAAGGAGAAGACATCAAGGGTAAAAAAAAAAAAAAAAAAAAGGATCTAGCTGGACAATGACTTAGGGAGGATAGAAGGAGAATTGATGCCTTTGAGCTGTGATGCTGGAGAAGAGTATTGAAAATACCATGGATTACTAGGAAAACAGATTCATCCTGGAGAGGGTTAAACCGGGCGTCTCCTTGGAGGCAAGGATTCTGAGGTTTGGTCTAACATACTTTGGACATGTTGTAAGGTGGGACCGTTCCTTGGAGAAGGATGTCATGCTTGGGAGGGTGAAGGGACAGCGCAGGAGGGGAAGGCCCTGTCTCTATGAGGTGGATTGATTCAGTAATCGGGATGGGGGTATCTGAGACAGTGCGATTGGCACAGGACAGAGCAGAGTTTAGGGCTGTTGTACATAGGGTCGCTATGAGTCGCAAGTGACTGGACGGCACATAACAACAACAACAACATCATACAAGATGAAGTTAACTAGACATTGTAATTCATTAATTCTCTTAATCAATGATAATGCCACAAAACAAAATGTCTATGAATACTTTCATGAAAAACCCAATTATGGCTTCACTAAAATAAAAATTAATAATAATAATAATAAACATGGAAGGGGAACATGAAAAAAGACTCTGAACAGCTGCCGCTTAGAAGTGGACCAAAGATACTACAGACTTAGGAAATATTCAGACACTAGGGGGTGAACTCACTGAGACCCCGAAAACATGAGGCAGGCAGGTTGGGTATTCATGGGACAGGAATGGGGACAGGGGATTAACCTGCCATAATCTCGACTCACCACATTTATTGGGGCAATAAGCTGCAAGGAAAAGAAAGAAAGAAAAGAAAAATCAGATTTCTAAATGAAAAAGGATGGTGGTGGGAGGGATGGGTGAAGACGCTGGGGGCTTGGCTGTTGAATGTGAGGAAGGCCCTGGGTGCTCTGGGTTCTGGATCAGAGGGAGGATAGGGTGGGGCCGGAACTCCTGGGTTGGAGAGAGGGCAGCACGGGAAGCCTGGACTTCTGGGTCTGAGAGGTGGGGGCGGGGGGGGGGCTGGGGCTCCTGTCTTTTCTCACACTCATTCAGGAACTGAGCCGAGTAACGTGCAAAGTTTGCCTTTTGCCTGTTAAGCATCCAGAATAGCTCTTTTATGAATAATTCTCCTGGGAAGAAGAAAAAGGCAGTGTGGCAGGGGATGCTGCCCCCCCCGCCCCACTCAACTGCCCCCCTCAACTAGCGTTATGTCTGCGTTCAGAACATGACATTCTGCTGTTCGCCTTCTGAAGGCAGGGATCAGAAGTATAATGTCAAAGAGCCCTGGCGGTGCCATGGTGAAGTTCTTTGGCTACTGACCAGAAGGTTGGCAGTTTGAACCCAGGCACAGCTCTGTGGGACAAAAGGACCTGGTGATCTGCTTCTCCCTTCGATTACAGCCTGGAAAACCTCTGGGGACAGTTATACTGTCACCAGGGGTCACTAACATCAGAACAGATTAAACCGCATTTAAACACAAAATATTCCCAGTGGTTGTGCCAGGTTAACACATTAACCCATTTCATCAGCAACGGAGCCAGCAGGGTCGATTATGGAGCTAAAGAAATGGCAGAGTCCAACGCACAAGGCCACAAAACTGGAAGGTGGCAGAGCTGGGATTTGAATCTGGCTCCAGAGCCCAAGAATGAACTACCTCAGCCCCCACTCACTGAGTTAGTTCCCAAACCCCAAGCCTCCCTCATATCTACCTTTCACCTCAGAGTCTGTGATACGCTTCAGATCCGTCAGAAAACCCCAGGATGCTTTTACCAGTGTGGGCTCATCTGTGGAGGGAGAATCCATTGGAAAAAAACTCATTGTCTCCAACTCAGCTCATTAAGGAACTGTCCTCTTAGGGTTCCCTAGACCCCTTTTTACTGGGTTGATTTTTCTCAAGTGGAGTAACTGGTGGATTTGGAAAGGAAGGCTTTTCTATTGGCAACCAAACACTTAACTCTGCTCCCCCAGCGTTCCTTGAAGGGGGAGATAGCATTCCAGATTTCAGGGTCACTGTCTCACTGGCACCCCCACTTGTAAACGACAATACTCTTGAGGGTGCAGGGCTGTGATAGGCCTGGTGAATGGCTTGCTGCCCCAAAATTTTCTGGGAGTTGTAGTTTTAGTAAGTATTTTAATAACAATATTAAAGGATAGGGAAAGTAGTATTTGTTAGATCTAGGGAACCTCAGAATTTGCACCCCAGCCTTCCTTATTCTCAAAACTCAAGGAGACCCTTCACTTAGCCCGTTTGTCCTTGGGCCCAATAGTCCTACCCTCAGTCCCACCTCCTTCCCCAAGACCCAGAAGTCTGTGTTTTTCCATGCCCTTACCAACGGCCCCCATATAGGTTTCACCATCGACTGGCAAGTCCTTGAAATTGAGCACTGCGGTCTCTACCCTTTTCATCAGGTTTTCATGAGACTGGGGTGGCAGGTGTCCAGGCAGGTAATCCGTTTTCAAGGACCGCAATGCATTAACCACCATAGGATCACAGATAATACAGCACCAGGTCGGGAGCAGGCAGCTAGTCAGTGCCATCAACAGGAAGGGGAGCTGTGGTCCCATTGTGACCGGGGTATGTGATCCTCCCTGGCACCAGGTAGGATCCTCTCACCCCAAACCGAGGAGGTGAATGCTAAACAGAAGGAAGCCGTATTTTAGTGGAGACCCAACTGATCCCCCCTATTCAAGGGGTCCCCAAACTGTCAAACAGGGGCTGTCATTGAATCACTAAATGCAGAAGGCTTAAGGTTCTTTTCAGACCTTCCAAAGTGGTATACATGCCTGATTTGTCAGTCTGGAGGTCCCTACATTTAGAATCCTCATTGACTTTAAATGAGACATCATAAACAAGAGGTCTTTGCCAGTCTCAGCCTCAAACCCATATAACCATGTGATCTCCAACTTCCCCCAAAAGACACCATCCTGAACTCTCAACCTTAAACTAATTGGATTGGAGGGATTATTACGGTTGTAGATGCAGTCAAGTTGACCCCAAGAGACAGAGAGTTTCCTTGGAAGTCCTAATGGAAGCACATGGCTAGGTCTTTCTCCCAAGGAGTGGGCTCAAACTAACAACTTTTTGGTTAGCACTTAACCATTTGAGTCCCTGGGGCTCTTGGAACAACACTAAGTGTCCTCAAATCTGTTGCACCTACAGCTGAAAACTCAAACCCTTCAACATTTAAAACTCCCTCGAATGGACTTCAAAAGTACCCCAAATTTGGGAATCCCACAAATGTCAGCTAGATTCTGTTCGGTCCTGGAGACCCAAGGGCACCCTTGACCAGTCTTCTCAAAGACTATGGGATCTCCAATCTTGCTGGACGGCGCACCCTCCTTCTTGGTAAGAGAAGAATCCCAAAATCAGTGCTGTCTGACCTTGGATCCTTGGACAGTGGCCGCCAGGTTCTGATGAGGAGCCAAATCCAAGTTCTGGGAATTCTTTTAGAGAGGAACCTTCCCTTGGTTAAGTCGCTAAAATGAAGGATTTGGGGAGGGGCATTTCGACTGGGGTCTGAGTCGCAGGTGGCACCTGTCTGCAAAGAGCTCCCCACAGACTCCAGCTTAATTTTCCCACGTGGGGTCCCGAATTCCCTAGACAATCTAGCTCCGCCCAGACGCCCTACCCTTAAATCGGATTGGATCACAAAGCGGCCCCAGGCGTGTCATGACGTCACAGAGACGCCCGTCTTAAAAAACCAAGAACTTTTTTATCAGCTACCGAAGACAAGTTTGTCATTATTTTTCTTTTCCTCTCTCGCTTCTGGTTTCTCCTCTTGGCCTGAGAAACGAGGCTTCTGTTTATATTCCCTTAGTCTGAAGCTATGAAAACCTGAAGTTGGCCGTTTCTGGTTCTAAGACTACAACACCCAGAAGGCTCTGGAGCGACTTTCCCCGTGTAGAGGCCGCAGCCTACACCATTGCTTTATGGGAAATGTAGTTTGGACATTCCACAGTACTAATCATGATCCCTAGTCTTATGGGGCAGGATCTAAGGGCTCAGAGGGAAGTGTTATATTGGTGGCCCCGATACTAAAAGTCCAGGAATAAGGAATTGCGGGCTCTTATCTCCTTACTTTTCTGCAAGTGCTTGCAAGTTACACAAGTCTAGCAGCAGAGGTGACCATAAGTGAATAGAAACAACACCCCAAAGGGAGCTCTGGTGGCCTAGTGGCACAAAGCTACACTGCAATCTCAGAGGTATACAGTTCAATTCCACCAGATTCTGTCCTGGGAAAGGAGGGGCAATCTCCTCCTGTACCAGTCAAATCTGATTTGACGGTACACACATAGAAAAGAATAATTTTAAAAGAAAGAAACAACACTCCTAAATGTGTAGGTATCAATTCCTAGTAGCTACCCATCTTCATCCTATCTTACACACACACCCCTTCATGAAAGCTGCAGAGACCGAGTTGGTGATCTGGGTTTTTTCATTCATACGTCCTGACTCCTGCCTGTGACTTGGGTATGTCCCCAAAAACTCTCTGAGAAGATAGCAAAGTGTGAGTGAATAAGGGATGACATTGGATGACTGGAAATAAAGCTTATTTTTCTCTGTTGCCCAAAATGCTCCAGGAATCTGAACTTGGAATACCATCATCATTGTATTAACTTGACCTCCTGGTTTAAGGTTGGGTACTCTGGGATCATACCTTTGAATCTTTTCCTGCTAGACTAGGGGAAAGGTAAAGTTAAGAGAATAGTGTGTGGGTTGTGGTGTTGGCTTTTTTTTTTTTGCAAGCTTCCGGAAGGTATGTTTATGCTCCAATGATTCCCCAGATGATAGACAGAACCTTGTGCTCCCAGCAGCCCAGCTGCAGAGGAGAAAATGAACTTTATTTCAAGAGGGGCAAATGGAAGATGGAGTCCAAGTGTGGCATTCATTCAGCCTTTTCAATCAGAGCTCAATTCCTGAGCTTTACCTAACACCGTGTCCCTGGATCTCCAGGAAGGCCTGCTCTTGAAGTTTCATCATTTAAGCACCATTGTCACATCCCCTTCCAAGCTGACTCCACCGACCCACAGACGTCTGCTAAGCGGCACGGCTTCCCAGGGCTGAAGGCTTAGCCGTGGTTACAAGCTGCTCTATCTTCTCCAGAGTACATTATGTGTGGGACTGCTAACCACAAGTCCAACAGTTCTAATCCACCAGTTGCTCCATGAGAGGTGAAAGATGAGCAGTCAGACAGCCTTGGAAACATGATCGAGGGCTGCCATGAGAAAGAATGACCAGATGAGAGTGGGTTTGATTGTTAGGTTTTGCAAGCAGAATGTAAATTCTGGTCAGTGAAAAACAAAACAAAACAAAACAAACCCCCAAACCTTGAACCACCTGTCGTTTCTGACTCATCTCAGCCCTGCAAGGCAGGACAGAGCTGCCCCCACCCCCCGAGGGCCTCCAGGACACTGTGCAAGTTGATAGCCACAACAATGTCCTCGCGGTGTGACAGGACCACTTCAGTTAGTAGCTGTATTTAACCACTGGTTGTACCGGCATTCAATTCTTCACTGGAGTCCTCTGGAATTCTAGAATGCGTAAGTTCTGCAGAAGTCTTCAAAGGCATCAGACTGAGCTGTCTCTAGGGTCAATTCCTTCTAAGCAGCCTTCCAGAAATGTTGCAGATCGAGGGTCCCAAAGAATAGAATAATTTTAT